TGTGTGTGTGTGTATGTGTGTGTGTGTATATGAAATATATATATATATATATATATATATATATATATTATATATATATATATATATATATATATAATATATATATATTATATGTATAACCACACACACACACACACACACACACACAACACACACACACACACAACACACACACACACACACACACACAACACACACACACACATATATATATATGTGTGTGTGGTGTGTATGTTTGCGTGTGTGTGTGTATGTGTGTGTGTGTGGATGTGTATACGTGCGTGTGTGTATGCGTGTGCGTGCGTGCGTGTGTGTGTATGTGTGTGCGTGTGGGCAATATGCCTTTGTGCCGTTAATGACAAGGTGAAGAAAAGTTCGCCCTAAATTGCAGCCTCCAATTTTCGTCCCTCTCTCGGCGCGCCGGGAAACGTTCTCAGCATATCACTTCTTTTCATCTTCTTTTACAAAGGGTCACAAGCAATTACCCATTCACCTTGCACGCTTCTCCTCGGCTCTTTGTTGGCCTACCGTCTTTTCTTCACTTCTTTTCCTCATCTAAATTTTTTTTTATTCAAATATGCTTACAGAACAAACCGGCTTATATGTCAAAATGAGCAAGGCGACAAGAATTTTAGAGATGAAGCTTCACATTGTTTAATTCTAATACTGAGTGTATTTTCCCGTTATTCTTTTTATTTGCAATTTAGAAATGTTTGTAAGGAGAGTGTCAGTCTTTTCTTTGTTTTAATCAGCAGTTCAGATTATTGCAGTTATTTCCCTGTACCAATATAACAAAGAGATGGTATATGTAAATCGATGTTAATTATGATTTTTTTTTCTTTTTTATTGTTTATCTATTTTTTTTTTTCTTAGGTATTGTGATTTTCAAAGACGTCCTTCTTTCAGTCACTGCATTTTTTTTTTGGGGGGTGGGGGGTGATTGGGGTTCATTTCTCTTCTTTCGTTTCGGTTTTGTTTCTTGATTTTCAGAGAAGTTATTCTTGTCATTCTTTCAGTCATTGCATTATTGTCTTTGTGTGCTATGTAAAAAAATATTTGGCGACTGAACCCATATAATTAATACCAAGAAAAAATATACAGCGTAGGAATTAATTCGTTGAACTGTTACTTCGTTCCTCGCCAGTTCCGGGTACGTGTTATGCTAGTTAGGATAATATGCTACAATTGTTCTCTCTTTTTTCTTATATTTATTTACAATGTACAAATAGTCCCATTGGCTGATCTTCATAACCTTTGAAAAAATCATTGTTCACACATTTCTGTAAATCATCCTAAAGTAAACTCCTAAGACCTAAGAATTTACAATCACTTAAAATGTCAATGCTTAGATATACAGTGCATCTGGAAACAGACACAGGTTGGAATACGTCACCGCTAAAGTGTTGTATACCAGACCTGCAAGCATATGCGAGTACACATATGTACACAGACGTACACAAACATAAAAAGTAAGACACACACACACATACACAAACACACACACATACACATACACACACATACACATACACACACACATACACATACACACATAGCCCCCAATTACAAATTATTTCAGTAACCTAGCGTGAATAGTCCCATGTACACTAACCCAAACGTATCCACATACCGTCCACTTACATACAATGAGTTTATACTGAAAATGCATCGGATCCTACATCTTATCTTTGGAATACACTTATAGCTACATCTTAGAAATAACGCCGAACATTATCAGTTAGTCATATCATACTTCAAATCTTTCTCACATACAAAAGAATAAGGATAGAGAACAAGAAAACAATAATAAAATGACAAAAAGAAGACGTATAAAACAGAAAACAAAATCGAGGGACACTTGTAAGAAAATGTACACACTTTTTTTAGCCTCTCGAGGAGGTGGTCGAGATAGAAGACTAGTCATAGTTGCTTCTTAGTTACGTCACAGTTGCGTCACCGTGAACCATAACACTTTTTAACAATGGTTCTCGGGTTCCTACGATTCACTTGCAGTCTGTGGTCCTTAGCCAACGTGCTAGGTCACACGAGGTCAGTATCACGTAGAGTTCAATTTCCTCTTCGATCTTAAAGGGGCACTAACACGTGGCACTCTTAGCTGACAGTGCCAACACTTGCCGCACGTCACTTGCGTGTGTGTGGCACATTCGGTAACCACGCCTATGAATCTGCATGAGAATGGCACCATGGAAAGGCTATGACGTCAAAAGCGAGAGAGAGAACATGAATTGACGTCAGAGGGCCACGATGACGCAACGAGAGGACCAAAGTGGTCACCTGTGAGCTGATGACGTCAACGAGTTCGATGTGAATAATACACTGCATGAATGAATTCTGAAACTCGCATCAAAAGATGATGGAACGCTAAAGGTGTTTTGTACAGGAATATACATCGGTTTTTCTCTCTCCCAGTCCGCAAGATGTCCACACGTTTGTCTATTTCCTTCCATATAAAGAAAGAAAATACCCCAAGGAGGTAATCAAACTTTAATTATGAGAATAAACTTTCTTGCAACTTTGAAAGATTGACAAGGCAGAATCTCCTCAAAAGTTTCTCGTTTCGATCTTCCGGCAAGAGGTAATTGCTATGTCTTTTCTCCTCTCAACTTCTTCCTTTCCAATATCCTTCCTGTTTTCCTCCTTCGCCTCCGAGGGCCTCCGTCTGTCACGCTCGACCTCTCAAAATACGTTTCTTTTTCACTGTCGCTTTGTTTATCGACAGTTCCTCGCCACGCCCAACACTGTCACTGATTGGCTATACTGACTCACTAGTTACCTTCACTCATCTCATCCTTGGCCGCCGCTCATCACATTCCCTAGGGACTCATCGCCCGACGCCCCTCGAGGCCGCCCTAGCAGGCGAACTCGTCGTCGCGGTGCACCTTCGGGAAGTGGTGGTGGTGGCTGTAGTAGTCTGGCGGGGCGCCGTTGGGCTTCACGCCGTGGCCCACCGCGCCCTTCTCGCTGGGGCGGCGGCACACGCGGTACCGCACGAACATCACGAAGATGCCCACCAGCACCGCCGTGCGATCAGCGCGCCGAGCACCGTGCCCACGCGCTCCACCGCCACGATGGCCGACGCCGGCCACATGGTGCGGCCGCGGATGCAGCGGGAGCCCTCGTTCGTGCTGCGGGGGAGGGGGGGGGGTAGGAAATATATAAATATGTATGTGTGTATATATATATATATATATATATATATATATATATATATATATATATATATATATGTTGTCTTTTTATGTATACGCTTTATATTTACACCGGTTCAAATAATAAAGATAAATATCCAATACAGAAATAGATAAAAGTACTTACATCTCGCAGACTTTCAGCCGTCGGGCCCACAGTGTGAGGGTGGACGAGTCCCAGGGACTTGGCCATCCCATGCACGCACACCTGGTACTCGGTACTAGGTTCCAGGTCTTCTAGGAGGTATTCCCGGGATCCTAGGCCGAGGGTTGGGGAAGTTATGACATCCTGAGGTGCCTTGTCGTCTCCTATTGCTTTGTAAGACACCTGGAGGAGAGGGAAGGAGGACTTTTAGGAACAAGAAATATAAACTATATAGATGTAGATATAAAGATATTTGTGTGTATATATACACCAATATGCTTATTGTGGTACACACACACACATATATATACATGCTGTATTTTTATGAATGTATACATATATGAGAATATATGTGTATATATACAATACAGAAATACACATACAAACATATAGATAAATAGTTACACTTTTAACTGATTATTTAATTAACATTATAAGAAAACCAGCTCGAAGCGAAATCAGATTAAAAAAAAAGAAACTTACCCTGAATCCATACACAGCCGAGGTGTTGGCCGCCTGCCAGGACACCAGCAGCGCCTGGCTCTGCGTGTCCTGGATGTCCATGTTGAGGATTAGAGGCTGAGGGCAAAACACGGACGCCGAGAGAGTGAGGAACGAATGGCCTCGCAGAGTCTGACGGAGAAAGAGAACGCCATTGCGATTACGTTCGTGAATGACGTGCTTGGGAAAATATATCTGATATTTGTCATGGAGTTAGGATTTGTTTGTTGTGTTGGTGTTGGTCTTGGTTGTTGTTGGTGTTGTGTTGTTGTTGTGTGGTGTTGGTGTTGGTGTTGTTGGATTTGTAGCGAATATGATCTGAGCTTAGACGTACCTCGGGCATTTCGCAGACGATGAGGTGTGGGGATTCGACCTGCCCCGGGTGGTTCTGGAGCCATATCCACAAGTCCAGGGTGTCGCAGTTGCATACGAGAGGGTTGCCTGAAACAAGTAGAAAACGAAAATCCGATAAGTAAAGGGAAAAAAGGAAATAAAAAAGATAATATGGAAGAAAAAAATTGGACCCTTATTAATAATGCATCAATGTGCAGCGAAAAGAAAAATAAATCAAGATAAAAAAATAAATAAATAAATAAAAATAAATAAAACTAGACATAGAAAAAAAAATAGAATAAAAAGTCCAAAACCAATAAACAAACATGACTCGAAAAAAAAACATAAACCAATCAAAAAGAAAACAAAAAACATAAAGAAACAGACATCCAACACATCCAAGCACACAACACAACGCCAACCAACCCACCCGTAAGCTTAATGGTCTCCAAAGTCCTCTCGATAGGATGCAGGACGAAAGGCTGAAGAACCTCCAAGTTGTTGTGATTCAAGTCCAGATGCCTGGCGCGATCCAGGGGCTCCAGGGCTCGAGGGTGAATAGACGTTATCCAGTTATCCCCGAGGTAGATCTTCTCGAGGCTCTCCGTGTGCCTGAAGACGTGCTCCTCGATCTCAGTGAGCATGTTCCCCGAGACGTCCAAGACCTGAAGGAGAGAGGGAGAGGCGTTGGAAAGGGGCGGACGGGGACACTTGGCTGAGTGACGGTGGGAAGTTTGTGAATAGGGGTACGCGTATATCGATAGATAGATGGATAGAAAGATAGGTAGGTAGGTAGATAGATAGATAGATAGATAGGTAGATAGAAAGATATGTAGGTAGGTAGATAGATAGATAGATAGATAGATAGATAGATAGATAGATAGATAGATAGATAGATAGATAGATAGATAGATAGATAGATAGATAGATAGATAGATAGATGGATGGATGGATGGATGGATGGATAGGTAGATAGATAGATTGGTAGATAGATAGATAGGTAGATAGATAGAAAGATAGATAGATAGATAGATAAATATAAATAAATAGATAGATAGACAGATAAATAGATATAGATATATATAGATATATATCCATAGGCATACGTACGTACATACATACAAAAAATAGATGAATCATATATAAATACATACGCACTACATACCCTATATACATACATACATTCATATATACGAAAGAAACATACAAACACATATACATACGTAAATATACACATACATACATATACACATACACAACACGCATATACATACACGTTAATATGTACATAAATACATACATTTATGTATTTAAGCACATAAATATAGAAACGTACATACTTATATACATACATGCATACATAAATACATGTATACAAACAAACATGCTTACATATATGTACATGCAAAGATACATACATTGCAAAATATATACATACGTGTATACATAGATGCATAAATACATACATACATACAGAGAACGAGAGAATTAATTCCAATAACCATATGCATATATATATATATATATATATATATATATATTATATATATATATATATATATATATATATATATATATATATATATATATACATATATATATATATATAGTATTATATATATTATATACTATGGTTATTGGAGTTAATTCTCTCGTTCTCTGTCTGTTATCTGTTTCTCTTCTTCTCTCTTTCTTCTCTCTCTCGGTTCTCTCTTGCTCTCTCTCGCTCGCTCTATCTATCTTTCTCTCTTTCCCTCTTCGAACACTTAATAAATGCTTACCTTCATGCTCCTGGAATCCGACGGGAACTGGTCGAGCTGCTTAAGCCTGTTTCTCGTGAGGTTCAGGTGCGTGAGGGAAGGAAGGCCCCGCAGCCTCTCTCGGGGCATCGTCTGCAGAAGGTTGTAGCCGAGGTTGAGCTGAGAGAGCTGGTTGAGCGTCCGGAAGGTCCCCGGGGCGATGTTGCTGATGGTTCCGTTGGCCAGGTTGAGGGAGCGGAGAGAGGGCATGTGCAGCAGCTCGTGGCTCGCCAGCTCCTTCAGCTTGGTCCCCGTCGCGACCAGTTCTTCGAGGAAGTCCAGCACCAGGCGCTTCCCTACCTGCTTGTTGACGAGTCTGTCCAGAGGGTTGTTGGAGATGTTGAGGAGCTCGAGGGACGAGACGCCGTCGACGAAGAGGGTGTCTGGGATCTGCTTGAGTTTGTTGCCTGCCAGGTTGAGGCGCCTGAGGGACGAGTCCTGCAAGCTGCCGATGGGTAGGTGGGTGAGGTGGTTGTCGGAGATGTCGAGGACTTCGATGTGCCGCAGACTTTCCATCGTGGAGACCTTCAGATCCGTCATCTGAATGTCGAGGCGTAGGCTCCTTCATCTCGTGCAAAAGTCCTAAGGAGGGGCAGAGATGCTTGATGGGGTTTCCGCTTATGGAGAGCTGCTCAAGCTCCTTAATCGGCAGCAGTGACCTGCAGCTTTGGCCGTCGAGAGCATTATAAGAAATGTCCAGTCTGAGGAGGTCAAAAAGGCTCCTAAACACAAGAGGCTCCAGGTGTGTTAAATTGTTCCCACGCAGGCTCAGAGACCTCAGGGTTTTGCTGTTGTCGAAGAAGTTCTTTGGCACTGCCTCGATGGAGCATTCACTCAGGTCAAGGGTTTCAAGGAAAGGAAGGTCAATCAGGGCCGATGAACCGACAGCCTGGAAGTTGTTATTGCTGAGGTCAAGATTTCTAAGTTGGCTAAGTTTGAGGTATCCTCCATTAAGTTCATAGAGATCGTTACCCCTCAAGCTCAGTGTGTCAAGGTAAGTCAAAGCATCGAAGGCTCCATCTTCAATTTCGCTCACCTGTGCATTATCAATTATCAAATGTGTTATGCGAAGTTCAGTCTTGAACAAACTCTTTTCTATTGAAGTTAACATGTTGCCTGACAGATTTAATTTCTCTAGGTTGCTCATGTTATGGAAAGAGTTAGGAGCGATTTCCCTTATCATGTTGTTGTCCAAGTGCAGCTCATTTAAGGCAGACAGGCCAAACAGCATGCGTTCGTTTATTGTTTCAAGAAGATTGTACGACAGATACAACTTTCGCAGTTCTGTCATGTTCATGAACACCTGCTCCTGAATGTACGATATCTGGTTCTCTTGGAGATGGAGCTGTCGAAGGAGAGCGGAATCCTTGAACACGCCTCAACGAGAGCGGAGATGTTGTTGCGGTCGAGCCAAAGCACGTCCAGCTGGTCTTGTCCCTTGAGCGAATGGTCGTTGAGGGTGTTGAGGTTGTTGCCGCTCAGACGAAGGTATCTAAGAGAGCTCGTCTTGTCG